GTTGACCTTGTCTGTCATTCGTTCATATCTTCGTTGCTTTTATTCGTGTGTATACACGCCTACCTCAATTATTACACGTCTGGCTTACTTTGTCTCACCACATACGCTTAGTCATGGTCCATCAGATTGAGTTGGCTCACTCATCTTCTCCGCTTCTCTTTGCTTGTATGATTTTCATTATCATGTCTGCATGAACAACTGCCTGAAATAAATTCATACAAACGAATCCGTATTTTGTTTCTTACTACCGCCGTCGTACAAACGGGGTTCGCCTAAGTATAATATTCGGAAACTATTGGGGATATTTATTTCATAGCATACTCGATCATTCATAAATATTGGAGCCAGATCGTGGGCCAACAGTGGCATCCCCAGATTCAGCTACTCGTAGGAATCGAACCTTGGGACCTTCAGCCTAGTGTGCGAACGCACGCCTAACCTCTGGACCACTGAGTCAACAACTAACAGTGTTAATGCCTAACTTCGATCGATCCACGGCCTTGCACAACCCCATCCACTGTTTAACACTCTCCACAACCCTATCATGCAAATTATCACGTGCTAATTAGTGACTACCAACCAAATCACTCTTGATGGAGATGCCTTGAGGGACGTTAACACATTTACATATCTTGGCAGTATCATCGACAATCAAGGTGGATCCGATGCAAATGTGAGGGCGCGGATTGGCAAAGCAAGGGCTGCATTTCTACAGTTGAAAAATATCTGCAACTCCAAACAACTTTCAACCAAAACCAAAATCAGGATTTTCAATACAAATGTCAAGACAGTTCTACTGTATGGAGCGGAAACATGGAGAACTACCAAAGCCATCAACCATAAGATACAAGTGTTTATTAACAGTTGTCTACGAAAAATACTTCGCATTCGTTGGCCAGACACCATCAGCAACAACATATTGTAGCAGAGAACAAATCAGATTCCAGTGGAGGAGGAAATCAGGAGGAAGCGTTGGAAGTTGATAGGACACACACTACGAAAAGCACCTAACTGCGTCACAAGACAAGCCCTCACATGGAACCCTCAAGGAAAAGAGGAAGGTCAAGGAAAAGATTACGCCGAGAAATAGAGAAAGATATGAGAGGAATGAACAAAAACTGGAAAGAACTAGAAAGGGAAGCCCAGGACAGTGTTGGTTGGAGAAAACTGGTGAGCGGCCTATGCTCCATTGGGTGTAAGAGGCGTAAGTAAGTCATTAGTGACTAGCTCCTAATTTTAGTGAGAAGTTGTGACTGGTGAGTCTTCATGTTATTGAAAATCGAATTAACTCACTCTGAATTGTTTCAGTCAAAAACTGATGTAAAAGTAACTGATGATTTTTACATCACCTTCGTCTTAGACAAGTGTTTATTAACTTACTGAATTATACTCTGTATTCTATTGTGAACTATGTTAAATTACAAATGTGAAGACAGTTCTACTAAACGGAGCAAAAACTTAGAGAACTACAAAAGCCATCATCCACAGGATACAGATGTTTATTAACAGTCGTCTACTCCATAATCTTCGGATCAGTGGGCCAGACACCATGAGTAACAACCTCCAGTGGGAGAGAGCAAACCTGATCCCAGCAGAATAATAATTCAGGACGAAGCGTTCGAGCTGGTAGATGGGACAAACGTTGAGGAAAGCACCTAACTGCATCACGAGGGAAACTCTCACCCGGAATTCTCAAGTTCAAAGGAGAAGTGGAAGATCGAAGAACACAGTACACCGAAGAATCGAGACAAGCATTGAAAGAACGAACAGCGATCGGGTAGAAGCTGTACGGTAGGCTGAGGATAGGGTAGGTGGGAGAATGGTGGTCGACGACTTATGCTACATCGGGTTTAACAGGCTTTAGTAAGTGCGTATGTTGAATGATGATGAGAATTTTACGAAATAAATGATATCTCATCAAAAATTAACCAATCTCCTACTATTTCAACTGTATTCAATCTTATCCCTAAGCAACTATGCAAGCATATTCGGGATGCGGTTTTCCACCTCGAAATGCAAATTTTCGCTTCAAGATTGGGTTGCATCGGCACCTGAACTAGTGATGGGGAGTGAAGTAGTCGAACGTGTAGACCGCTTCACTTATCTAGGGAGTCTCATCAGTGCTGATGGCCTGGTGACTGACGAAATCTCGACACGGATACAGAAGGCTCGATTGGCTTTTGCCAACCTGCGTCACCTATGGCGCAGGCGAGACATCCGTTTGCTAACCAAAGGACGAGTGTACCGTGCAGCAGTTCGCTCCGTCCTAATGTACGAGTTCTAGGTAGGGAAGGCAAATCAATAGATGAAGTAGTGAAACTTCATCAGTTGAGGTGGTTAGGACATGTGTTACGTATGGCTAACCACCGACTGCCAGGACGAGCTGTTTTGCAGTGTAGGAGTAGATTGGAAGAAAGCTATGGGCAGCCAAACCAAAACATGGCATAAATGCATGAAGTCACTGACAAGTAGACTGAGTCATGTTGGTAGATGTACGTTACCTGATTGTGGTCCGTGAAACTAAATTCACCGATTGTTAGAGACCTTGAACGACATGGCTCAGAATCGTTTGCGATGGCGCAGGTGCATCCACTCTTTGTGTTCTGCATTCCTCATAATCTCTTCCTTTCTCCTTCTATATTTATCTTACTGAATTATACTTTTCGAATTATAGCTTCGCTCCCTAATCTTCTCCATTACTGCTAATACTTCTACTATAGCTATCACTCTTGGATTTGAACTGACAGTTGCGTCTCTGTGCTGAAGGGGCAAAGCAACCTGAACTTATGTGCTTACATACGAAGTTCTGTGTTGTATCTGTCTGTCTGTCTATCTATTTCAATGGTTAACACTTTTATACATTATGACGTATTTCAACCTGAACTGAAAACGTTTGTATCACAAACTGTCATTAATTAAAATAGACTATAGTGTAATTCAATTGAAAAGTTTTTTTTCATTTTATTTTAGAAAACCAAAAAAAAAAAACAAAAAAAGAGAAAGGAAGAAAAGGCAAATATTCATAAAATATTACAATTTTTTTTTGTTTCCATATATAAAGAGAATATATATATATATATATATATGTATATATGTATATGTATGTATATAATAGTAGTATAAGTAGTAGATAAGTTTTATATGGTGATTGATTGTCATCGAGACTTCAGCAGTAATAGTCGTGTATATGCATATATATATATATATAGATATATAGATATTATCATTGCCGATCAATGTTATCAATGTTAGTTCATTAGAACGAATATACATAAAAAAACAAGAGTATAGAGATTGTCAAAATGAAGGTTGTGGTCTTGTGTTTGCGTCTTCTGCTTACTTTAATCGATTTAAAAAAAACGACAAACAGAAAAAGCCAATAAAAACAAATCAAAACCAGACAAAAAAAAATTAAAATGAACAAACATATAACAATAGTAATAATAATAATTGCCCTGAATGAGAAATTTGATTCTTTCCCTGGTGTGTTGGTTCGTTTCAATGAATTGGTGATGTGATGCGTATATGCATATTGATATAAGTGAATGTGAAGAAGGGTTGATTGATTCATTGATTGATTGACTCACTGAATGAGATTCAAACCAATCAACAAAACTAGGAAACATGGAACACGCACACACACACACACACATACACAAACCATCAAATGAATGAATAGAGAATTTTTAAAAACAAACAACGGAAAACTTAATGCAACGCTTGCCATTTCACAAGAAAAATAACGTAACTGAAAATGAAAAAGCTTGATTTTTCCTGATTCATTTAACAACTACAATACTAGTAAATAGTAACAATTATAATAACAATAACAATAGCAATAATAATAATAATAATAATAATAATAATAATAATGGTAATAACAAAACCACCTGAGACAGTGAATCAATAAATCCTGATTTTTGTTTTTGGCGAATTACCTGATCAGTGAGTGACACACATCGATGAGAAGAAGGGTTCTCATTGAAATTTGACAAAACATAATGGGACGAGAATAGAATGTACAATGTATATTAAGAAAAGAAAGAGAAAATTGTAGAATAAACTGAAACGATACTATTTATGATACTACTACAGTACTACTGTGATTACTACTGATAGTAGTACTGTTATTATCAATACGATTGACCAAAGAGAGAATGAGAAAGAAATACGGTCTATGTTAAATACATATATACTTGATTCGCGTATACAGATTTCGTAAAGCAAAAAAAGGTGAGAAAAATAATGTTTTCTTGCATTGAAAAAATTAAAAAAGGTTGTCCTGAGTTGTTCAGTGGATCAATGTTTATGTTTAACAATTTTTTTTAATTTGATCAAGAGGGTATAAACGAAAATACCTGATTGGTAACTTAGCAGCCAATGTACCGACGATATCATGAAATGATAGGTTGGATGTGTAACTACAATTATTAAGTAGTCATTGACATTTTCAAGAGAAAATTTCGATTGTATTATTGAATAGAGAAAGCACAAATGGAGAAGAGACACGCTGTACAACTTGGAAATATTAGAAATATTGAGAAAAGAAGAAGAACGAATCGAAGTATCATTAAGATTCGGCCGATACTGACTTTTCTCGTTTGTGTATATAGTTTTGTTTTTTTTTTTTGAATCCACATATATATATTATCAATATTATTGTTATTGAAGAAAAAAAATATTGAAACATTCACGAATAGATATATCAATATTCAGTGTTCAATGTTCAATAAAATTCGTGATATATTTTTTTCTTGATGAAAAACAAATGCTTTAATCAAATGTAAAAAATTGTTAACAATAAGAAAAATGATATTAAATTTATAGATAATGTATGTACGAAACTAACGCATAAATCGTTTGTGTGTATGTATATATATATATACCTGTTTGTTTTAAACAACATCAGAACAATCAAACACACAATTCCATAAAATGGTTTGTAATGTAAAATAAAACCAAAGCAAAAACAATTAGCAGATATTTATTTTGCAAAAATTCGAAAATTTAATTGAAAATAAAGAAAAATTCAACACACATAAGCACCAAAAATAAAAATGAGACTAAGTAAAAAAAAAGCACCTGAGTTATGCAACTAGGATATGGCCCGAAAATGTGAAATCGAAATAAACTGTATATGTACTCATGTGTGAGTGTGTCTGTAATTGTACAAGTTTGGATAGTTCAATAATCAATATGATGAATAGTTTTTAGGCTAATACAGACCATTCTGGTTTAATGATAAATAAACTCGATTTATCTAACGAATCCAAATCGGCCAATGTTGATGAACAAATTTGTGAAGAATTAGTCAATAATTCATTTAATGAATTCATTCTTAAAATAACTGATGAAGATGATGACACCGAGTTGGGACAATGTAATGTTTGCATTGTCGATGATGATGATGTTGGCTGTAAATAATTATCAACTTTTTGTAATGATGAAATATTGCCATTTGTAAAATCATTTTCATATTTGACAATATTATGTAATTGTGAATTGTTTAACTTATGAGTCGATGATGATTGTTGTATTGTTGGTGATAAATTTTGTTTGAATGTTGTCATTGTTGCCATTGGTGATGTTGTTGTTGTTGTTGATGATGTTGTTGTTAGATCATTGATCATTGTACATGTGTCGTTGAATTCATCAATTTTCATTAATTCTGAATGAATATTCTCATGATTAGCATTATGATGATGATGATGATCATTTTCATTAGAATATGAATTTAATTGTTCATTCATAAAATCATGATGAATTGACTGGTCGTGTTCTTCATTTGTATGAAATGTATCTGGTAAAAATGTTGTAATATCAATGGAATTCATCATAGCATCGAAATTTAAATCAAATTGATCATGTTCATTGGTCATTGAAAAATCTGCATCATTTAAATCTGTTTCTATAGAAATATGCTGATTTGTTTGTTGATGATGATGATGATGATGATGATGCTGATGCTCCTCTTCATGATGGTCTGGATGATTTGATGAATGCATTGTCGACGATGATGATGATTCACCGGCGTACTGATTATGATGATGGATAGTTGATTTGACTGTTTTCGATTCCTGGGTCGGTGTTACTGACAACGATGATGATGATGATGATGATGATGGGCTAATCAGTTCTTCTTTCGTTGATACAGTCGTTGACCAATCATTATTGCTGTTACTACTATTATTATTACTCCTTATTTCATGCATACATTCATCTAAATTAATCACATGTTTTAATTTGTTTAAATGTATTCTTTTCTCACAGATCAGTAATTCTTCCTGCAGCTCCTCGATCTCCTCCTCCTCCTCCTCGTGTTCAATACACATCTCCATAGAATTTGTCTCATTAAATTCATAAATATTCTCATTTACATGATTGAATTGTGATCCATTTGGAATCATTTCAATTTGTTGCATTGGCAAGAATACATCATTTGATAATGGAGAGACAATGGAATTTGGTGATGTTGACTGATAACTAAACGGTGATAATGATGTAGACAATAATTCGGAATTTGGATCGGTATACGATGATAATGAGGATGATGAAAATGGATGTTGTTGTTCTTGTTGTTGAGGATGAAGCTGAAGCGGATGCTGATGTTGATGATGATGATGTATGACATTCATCACTTTTAATGGTTGTAAAATTTGAAATGATTTTGAAATTGTCGGTAGAATTTGATTACCATTAGTAATGTAAACTCGTTTCATTGATGTAGTAGTATTAGTAGTAGCAGTACTACTACTATCATTATTACCAGTAGTAGTATTTGTAGTATTCAATGTCAAATCATGATTCAATTGATCGTTATTATTTGTTTGAATCAATGTTGTACCAGGTGGTAATGTAAGCAATAAACTTTCATTTGAACAAATTTGTCCTTCATGATGATGATCTAGCTGAATATAGACTGGTGTTAAAATATCCGTAGTTAATAATTCATGATTATTAACATTATCTTGAAGTACAATTGTTTCATCACTCATCAATTCTTCTCTGAACGATTGTAATGGAATATGATGATCATTTGATTTTCTTGACGATAATATTATGACATTTTCAGCATTAGTTTTAAATTGAAAATGATTCTGATTGTTATTAGTAGTAGTAGTAGTATTAGTAGTATTTTGAGTAGTAACACCATTATTGGCTGAAAGAAAACGTTGACGTGTTGTTGTTATAGGTTGATTACTAATTGGTAATAATTGCTGTGATTGTGGTCTTATTGGAATAAAGTGAATTTTACGTCGAATGGGTGAATGTTTATTCACTTTCACTGATGATGATGATGAAGAGGAGGCTGATTTTGCCGGTGAAATTAATTCTCCTACAGTTGGTGATGAGGCTGATGATGATGATGAACTATTAATTCCAGATGCATAAGCTGAATCACATGGAAATTGTTCATGAAATACACCGATAGTTTGTTGATGTTGATGTTGTTGATGACGATGCAGATGTTGATGATCATGTGGTTGATGTGAGGATATTGTGACAAGTGGTGGTAAAACTGTCGAAATACCATGTGTATTTGATTTAAATGAGAACGTTTGATTATTATTATTATTATTGCTATTACTAGTAGTATTGATAATGTTCACACTTAATGGTTTCGGTTCTAGTTTCGTATAAATTGTATTACAACTTAATTTCGATGGACTTGTCACCAAATTATTGATTAATTCAATGTGACCATTACTGCGTTGACTATGAATATCTACAATGTTGTTAATTTGTTTTTTACTAATCACTGAGTTATGAATTAATGATGTACCAGATATGGAACAAGTACGATTTGTCATAGCTGAATTAGTAGAGCCGGACAATGATGACGATGGCGATGAAGCATAATGTCCATTGTATTCTGTATTCGTTCTAAGTAAATTAGTAGTGATTGGTTTATTCGGCGTTATTAATTGTTCATCTCGTGTTGTATGATTTTTTGAATGAGTTTGTGTTGTGTTGTGAGTATGATTTGAATTTGAATGAAATACACGTATTGAGTCATGAGTATTACTATTATTGTTACCGACTAATGTAGCGGTCGATGCTGTTGTTGTTGTTGTTGTCGTTGGATGGGTCGGCGGATGGGTCGTCGACGTCGTCGTTGTGATTTGACGTTTTTTCGGTTGATATTTATAATTTGGGAATTCGATTTGATGAATTTTCACTAACCTATTGGCTTCATCATCATATTGATTACGACAACTTCTTGGAACGGTACGCCATAAATCACCTAATTGTTGACTTATCACTGAATTTGATGCATCACTGAAAACACGTAATACATTACGACGAATATGTTGGGCGAACAACTAGATTTATAGAGGGAAATGTTAAAATAAACAACAAAAAGAAGAGATGAGCATTTTTTGTTCTTGAAGAGAAAATAAATTACTAAAAGAAAAAGAAAAGATTTATTATGAATAGTCAGTCGGTTAATTTCAACAATCTTCCTCCTAATTACTTTGTAAGAAGTAATTGTATGAAGTTCACATGATAGAGTCGTGGAAATTGTTGAGTTACTTTTAAAAATATCCTGAACCGATCAGTGTCAGACTATATTTTGGGACCTGGAAACACTGAACGGCTGTTCCATCCAGCAATGGAACTCATCAGCGGCAAAGCGCATCCACGACACCTGAAGCATCTGTAGAATTCTAACCCACGACCTTTGGTCTTGCGCACGAACACCTAACCTCTGGTCCACTGAGCCGGTATTTAACGGTGTTAGTATCTAACTTCGATCAAACCGCGGTCTTGAGCAACCTCATCCACTGTGGCCACGACTTCTCACTAGAACTTTGTGAAACTGTGTTAGTGGAGTTCGACCCTGTCATGTGTGAAGCAGTGCCTATCAACGAGGATGAATGAGGTCGCACAATGCCGTGGATTGATCGAAGATGGTCATTAAAACCGTTGGCTGCTTCCGGCCCAGTGGTCTTCAAGTTAAGCGTTTACGCACGAGACCGAGGGTTCTGAGTTCGATTCTCGCGAGTAGGAGTGGCGGATTCACACTACTTATGAGTCAAGAACTAGGACAAAACGACCGGCCAGCGCTCCCAGGTTTCCAATGATGGTTATTGATCGATTCATGATTTCAATGAAACTTATCAAAAAGGTTTGAAATGACACAGTGTATAATTCTTTTTGTTTTCATCAATAAATATTTTTACTTCAATAAAATAGTTTTATTATTATCATCATTTTTCAAGCAAAATAATCATTAGTTTCAATCAATTAATTTAAAAGCTTTTTCTATCAACCTACCTACTCAGTGTAAATGAGGAAGGATTGTGTGTGTTTTCACGCCTCAAATATCATTAATACTAATTTTGTTAAAATGTTGTTAATCTAATCGTCTGTGATGCACAAGTGACAATGCGCATCATTCATTATTATAATTTAGTAAAATGGGAAATAATTTTGTACATAAGTATGATGTTTCTGTGCGTGTGAGTGTGTGTATAGGCGTGTATATTGAAAGAAGCATATGAATGAAAACTAGGTCAACCACGAGATTCAGTTTTTTTATATAACAGAATCAATTCGGCTAAACAAAATTTAATTCTGATATTTTTTTCATTGTTGGGTTATAGAGATGGTTGAATTACTTTACTGAAATCGTCAATCGATCGATGTTAGACCACTGTTGAGAAAACTGGAAGCACTGGACGGCTGTTTCGTCCTGGTTTGCGACTCATCCACAGTGCTTATCTGAAACCCTCTCCTGCGATAATCAAACCCAGGACCTCCGGTCCTATATCACTGAACAACTTTCCTAACCTCAGTCAGTCAGCAACAACATAGAACTTCATACGTACGTACATCAGTGCAAGTTACCATACCATATTAGCACAGAGACGTAATTGTCGATTCGAATCCCATAGTTGTAGATGTAGTGAAAGTATGGGCAGTCCCAACCACCTCAACTGATCAAGTTTCATTACTTCATCCACTGATCTGCCAGTCTTGCCTAGTACCCGTTTCCTAACAACTGCATCGTTTATTCGGTTGTTCCAGGATAAACGAGCAATGTTTCGGGGACATCTATGATAGGAGACCAGTAACCTACGAATATCCTGTACTCTTATTGGCCATATTTCAAAGCCATAAAGTAGGAATAAGCGAAACGGAGCGCACTAAACTGTTCCGTCAGTTAACACGAAAATCTCGCCTCTCTCTCTCTCCAAAAACTCGTAAGTCATTTCCTTTAGGTCTCTAATAAATCTATCGTTTGCTTTTTTTTCCTCTTAATGGATTAGAAAATCTTTATGATAAGATGACACAATATAATTATTACAGACAAAATAATTTTAAATTATGTCTCGTCAATTGTTATCTTTCGTTTTCGTTATCAATGAATTTTTGTAGACTACTACTACTACTAAAATTGTAGTTCACAAATGAATACTAATAGTAATAATAATTGTTATGATGATGATTATTAATGTCTTCTGTTCATTATTAGTTAGTTAGACATGAAACTTCCACACAGTCACTCTCACTCTCTCTCTCTCTCTCTTCCTATATGCATATAATATATTCCTTATCTGACTAAACTCATCAAGCCTAAAATGCATTCATTACTAAATGAATGACCTATTGACCTAGAATAGAATAAGAGAGAATAAGGCATCCGTTAAAAGGTTTCAATGTACCACAATAAGATAACAAGAGACTAAATATATATGTAGAGAGAGAGAGAGAGAGTGATAGAGTTGAATACATCGCATCATAATAGACAATCAAAAAAGGATTCTTGTGTTTTGTTATAGACTGTAGTGGAACTTTTCTCTCTCTCTCTATCTCTTAAAGAGAATAAACCACAAACCATAAATAGTTAATCGATAAACGAAAATCATTGAAAATAAAAAAAATGAATAAAGCGTATTGAACATTGAATTAGATAGAATAGAGATGTATTTGATTGAACATTAGAATTGATTTGTTCTACTTTTAGTTGTTGTTGTTGTTGTTAATAAATCTACCGTGTATAAACTGAATAAAAAAAAATAATCATATTATTGTGTTGTATTGTATTTTAAAATTATTCCTTTGAATTACATACAGGATTTCATATGATACTTCCCTATGATGCTGTGTTAGGGAAAAGGTGAACTCTTTCAAAAATAATGAACTTGAATGCAGGTTAGGTTAAATATGACCATAGTTTTGTGGAAATAAAAATAATTCATTATAAGGTGATACTTGAAGGTGATAGATAAGAATCCTTGATTGAATTAGGTTTGCGACTTGTCAGCCAGGTGTAGATATAATATCTTGAAGGAATTGATTCGATCCTGTTTCATCCAGTTACAGGTACAGTTAAAACAGCATTAAACCTAGGTTCAGGATTTCCAATCACTTATTCTCAACCATCAGCTTACATCTCAACATAATGCGAACGATATCGAGTCACTTAGATTAGTGGTCCCACCACAATCTGATCGATAGGATTTGATCAGCATTAAAAATGTGTTACACTCGCTAAGTTAAATATTTTGGTAATCTTCTAATAAATAATGAATATATATTACAAGACTGGACATCAATTCATAAATATATCGATCTGACTAATGTTGACAGATGAAGACTAAATGGTTAGGGTCCACATGATCATAAACGATTACGTTAAGTAACAGTTCAGAATGCGTTACACTGGAGCAAACTCATTTGCTATATTTCACAAAATACACAGATACATTTTATTTCACCAGTCAAACTGTATAATCGTAACCTTTTTCTTCTTCTACTTCTGATACTGTCACTACTTGTATTAGTCTGTAATGTGCCTGAATGATTTCAGCTTGATGTGTTGATAAGATGTAACAACTGAAACCGACACAAAATATAAGCCAGGTTCTTGGTTGCATACGACTGAGTTGGTTGAATTCACGTGGAAATCCCTGAGGAAATTATATTATTTAAACTCATAAACATCGGTACACAGGTGTAACAAAATGTATATGAGCCACATACATAAGTGAATTTGTGTGTGTGTGTGTGTGAGCTGGGATACTATCAGTGTGCCCAAACCAAAACGGATGATATTTGTAGCAGACCACTCTGTGAGACTTTCACCTACACATCTAATCCTCAAGGTAGTGGAACAATGTTAAGAGATACAGTCTCATGGTAGACGGTGAAGAATAATGGGTTCCCTCAGAATTATAGAGTTGATGTGTACTAGTAGTTTAGAATCAAGGTCTTCCTACTTCCCTAAGTGGATCCATTGGTTTCATCACTATCCCGGTTTAAGCACCGGCTAGTATTCGCTTTTTGTCTCGTCAATTTCTTAAACAACACAAGAATGTAGTACGTTTTGTCTGACATTAGCTACATATACGCGTGATCATATGAGAGCATTTGTAGAATAAAGGTGAACTCTTCTCACTCTTGACTGTATATCAGGGTATTTCGAAATATTAATAACTAGCTAAAATTAATTTTAGAATCTGACTGCAATGATTAAGGTGAACGATTATTATTCGGAAAAATAAAATTTTACATCAAAAGAAAAGAATTATTTCTTTATATTTTACTTCTTTATTGGAAGTTAACTCCTCCTAGAACCCTTCTACAGCTACAACCGGACCCAAGCTCAGATAAAGGGGAGGATTGGGCTTGGAGTTGACAACCCCGTTGTGTAGGAAACTAACTCGCTACAAAACGCTAAAAAAAAATGTTTTATATGGGAGCTACCGGTTTTTTTCTCTAATTTTCTGAAGATTATTATAGAATGTTAGAAAGTCTCTGGTGAATTTCGACTATTTATTATTTATGACAAAGAAATATTTCTCAGAAATTTTTAGTCATAAAAATTAAGTATTATCTTTAGTTTTTTAGAATTAATTATTTACGTTTATAACTAGAAAATGTTTATCCGAAGTACAATGAAAGAGAGAAAGTGAGAGAGATTAAATATAGAAACCATAATTCATCGAAAAAAACGCAACTACATTCCAGTATATTAAGTATTCAGTTGTTGTAAATTATTGTGTTTCATTAGATAAGGATTTCAGCGGTCTAGAGATTAAGTGTTCACAGGCGAGATTGAATGTGTAGTGTTTGATTTCCGGATGAGCAGTCAGTTACATATGTCTAACTACCGACTACCTCGACGAGCGATGTTATCTGATGTAGCAGTAGGTTAAAAGAAAGCACAAATCAATGAAGTCGTTAACAAATGGACTGAGCTATGTGGGTATATGTACACTAGCTGGTTGAGACTCTCGGGGCATTAGTAACCGATGGTTATAGGCTTTGAATGACATAGCTAGAAATAGTTTGCAAAGGAGCAGATGCATTCAAT